CGGGCCTTTAAGCAACCTGGGGACTCATTTCTCCACTGGGCTGGGTCGCTGTCTGACAGGGATGGGAAAACCCGGGCTACTTACCAAGCCTTCGGCCACAGCAGATACTGGGAGCCATTGTAAAGGAGAATATCATCTCCATTGTCAGGTCGTGGCTGTCTTTGTAATATCAGAAGATGAACTCGGGGAGAATATGCCGCCGGAGGGCAGGTGGAACCACCTTGGTGTGTGTGAAAGCTTTTCAATCACGTTAAGAGGTTTTTAGTCTGAAACCTTGTCTCAAAACAAATTCTTCTGACCTCATTAGAGTCACACACAGAAGTCAGCAACATAGATGGATCCGCTCTGATGATGGCTCAGACTTATCTATTTACAGCCAGTGTTTGTTGTGTGAGTGGCCGTTTCTTTTTCTTTAAAAAAAAAAAAAAAGGTATGTCTACACACCCCAAGACATTTAGAGAAATATGCAGTCAGTGAGTATAGATATCTTGTAAGTGTAAATTTCTGGTGAGCAAAAGATAATGAGCCCGAGGCCCCCACCCAGTGCCTGTAAACAGGGCCTGGATCGCTCCACATGCCCTGAGAGCAAACTCAAATATCTGTTTCTTCCTGGCTTTTTGCTGGCAGCAAAGCTGGAATGAGAGCACCACCCAAGCAGCTCAGAAGCCCTCTGAGTTAGCAAGTGGTGGGCTGATGTTCAGCCTCTGTGCTGTCGCCCGGCTGGGTGAAGGCAGAGAGAAGGCTACCAGCTCTGAGTGGGAACATTTCCTTCAATTTACTGGCCCCGATTGAGGATTTTTCATTCCAACCTCTGCTTGTTTTTGTTTTTGTTTTTTTTATCTCTTTGGCTCAAGCTTCCCTTTCAGTGTCCAGCTCATCCTGCCACAAAGAGCCTCATTCGTCTCCCGAGAGGAGGCTACCAGTACTGCGCTGTAACCCAATCATCTCTCCAACGGACGAGCGTGTCATCTCTGCAGAGTAACAGGAAGTCCCCACCCTCTCTTATTCACACTCACACTCCAAAGCACAAAAATGTGAGCCGTGGTCTGGGTGCATGCTTGATATCTTTGATGTGATTAAGAAAAAGGGTTTTCATTTGTGGCTATTTTAGGTATTTGAGCTTTATGACGCATAAGAAACGTCTCTTATATAAACAAATCACCAACTCTCTCATAGAGATGGATCAGTTCTATCATGACGAAGTTGGAAATGTAGTATAACAAAATCCCTCCAAATTCACACCATGAAATGGTCTCTTGACATCATGCTTTTTACTCCATCTGAAGCAGCATTTTCTCCAACATGCAAAAGCAAATAAACATGTGGAAATTCTAGGCATGGTCTAAGATAAAATAAAAATGAGTACCAAAGGCACATCACACACATATACACACATACACACACACACACACACACTTGTCTTTTGTATTTCAGTACAAATCAAAGTTTCCTTTGGATGGATAAACAAGTCTTTTTTGCAGCTTGGTAAAAATGAGGCTCCTTTTTTATGTGCTTCAAGGTTACATACACTCCTAATTCCCATATTCATGTGGCTGTTCAGTGTCCTCCCTCCCTAGAAAGTGAATAGAAGCTGTTCTTAAAGAATGAAAAATAAATAAGACGTGTGCTCATGTTAAGCTACTGTTCCACTGCAATAATGGACACAAAAAATAAGTTGCTTTCCTTCCAAACTTTTTTTAAGATCTCAAATGTTGATTGCAAAAAAATAAATCTTACACCTGGAAAGAATTTGTTTTCTAAATAAACTCTGAGCACAGGAGAGGAACTAATATCCCATTCAAGAATTGTTATCATTAAACAAATGCGATTGAAATAGTTTTGGATTCACATATCCCTTCTCTTGTTAGTGCAGTTGAGTGACTGGATATTAGATAACAAACATGGCAAAAATGGTTTTTGGAAAACTCAAAGCGTCCCGGCTGCATTCCTGCAGGCTATGAGAGTCAGTGTTTCTGGGGCGGCTACAAAGGCAGCCTCACTGAACCCCACAATGTTGGCTTTGGACCTTCAGTTCCTTCCTGTTCATGGAAATTCTTATACGAATGAAAAAAAAGTGTTTTAGTTGTGTAAAAACACTTGGATTGTGCTGAATTTAAATGGCTGACAATGCAAGTTTGTATTAGAAGTGTCGGTGTTCAGTTTTAATTCATTTTAACATATGGTTTGAAAAAGAAATACCAAAAGATACCTTAATAATTCAAATAGTGTTTCAGTTATATGAATGGAATTTTTTTTTTAAAAGCATATTTTTTGTTTTATTTATCTCAGCTATTTGCTTTGTGTGTGTCTGTCATATATCTATTGGTGAGGCTCTCCTCAGTATAAAGGAAATCAGACTTCAGCCTGTGGTTGGCCATTGTTGAGAAATACTGACCTCTGCTGCCCGTTAGGGTTCATGCAGGGAGACAGCTCAGTAATTTTGTTTCTGTTTCTGCATTTAGCAGACACTTTTATCCAAAGCAACTTAAAAAGTAGACACCACGTTACAGTTATCATCAATATGACATTATGCCCTCTAGAGGAAAATCCCTAGTCAGAGTCAGTGGTGACAGCGAAGAGATAGAGGGAAGTACAGAAAGAGGAGTAGAGTTAGGGTGAGAGTTAGGATAGGAGATGCTCTTTGAAGAGGTGGGTCTTTAAGAGTTCCTGAACATAGACAGGGATGCTGCTGTCTATCTTCTCATGTCCTTTTAATTAACTTAAGACAAAAAAAGAGAAACAACACCTCTTTGTTTAGAACATTCTTTAATCAGGGCAGTTTTGTGTCTATTCCCAAACACAGTATTACAGATTTAGATTTGAATAAAAATGATAAGATAGTATAAAATGTTTCAAATACATTAAATGTATTAAATATTGTAAATCTTCTTCAAGGAGCTGATTAGCTTAACAAAAAAATAGGTATACTATGTCAGCTGTGTTTGATGTCGGACCTCATTTATGACCTCTGTTCTCTCTCATTCCTCTCTCTCTTTAATTGGAGTGTCACCTTCTAATTTGTTGAGTTTTTCTGCCCAATTTGAAAATACATCTTTCATTGATAGTTTAACTTATTCAAATGGCAAAAAGCACTGAAATCTATGCTTCTTTTTTCATTGCAGGTCTTTTGGCACTTCTTAACGCATGGATTTTTACCAATGGAAGTAACAATTCTTTATATTTCTGAGGAGTCAAGGCAGTGTGACAGTCTGCCTGCATGAAAATACCAACGTACAGTTAGTTAAACACCACGCTGCTACACCCAACCACTGTTCATTTTGAGAAAGGACATTACAGCTAAGAGGGATAAACTTTTTAACCAAAGTCACAATGGGACAGTATAACCTCACCAATAGGTCATCAACACATTTATTTAGTTTGTTTATTTTCAAATTTCTATGAAATGACTTTTAAATATGCATAAATAGGCACCAATTTCTACAAGTTTCACAACCTCCAATTAACCACCCAAATGTGCATGCTTAAAAGGAGTTGCTTTTAAACTCTATATTCTTGAAAATGTCTTTTAAAGTGAATAATGCTGATTGGGGTTCTCTCTCTGAGAACTTTGGGCTGCATACACATCCTCACCACTAGATGACACCCATGTCACATCACACTGGAGCAGCACAACTGTAGCATGGCGGCGGGTCTACCTGTCCTCTCTGGCTTAAGTAGCCAGTGGGAGAAATGAAAACTTCATCCATGTGAAAACTCATACCCTATCAGGAGCTCAACCAGTCCCAAGTATAATCATTTTGTTGACATGACACCTCATTTTCTGTGTGGAAAGGTCTATTTGGACTTTAACAAGCTTCTCTCCCTACATAGGAAATGGACGACATGAGAAAGGAGACAGCCTGTGTGAGAAGGTGGCTCATTAGCTGTCCAGCAGAGTGGCCAGTTGCTCCCTGGAGAACAGTTTAGGCTTCTGGGAAACTCAGCAGCGCAGCAGCAGCTGCGACTCTGCATTAACCTGATGAAAAGTCGCCCCCTCTCTCCTCTGTTTCTCTCTTTGTTGAAACTGTTTGGTCGCTGTGTCCCTGCAGAATGCCTCGACCTGGATCTCAGTCCGTCTGTACTCACATAATTGCGGTGTTTTAACGGGATAAAAGAGTCTCTGGATCAAGAGATCGCTGTTGTCCACTCTGTGGACTAAGTGTGGAGGCTTGTGAGTGATGAGCGCCTGTGGGTCTGGGGTTTGCTGCTTTATCTGGGTGGGCTGTGTGGGCAGGGGGCTCAAGTGCTGACCATGAACTTCTCCCTGAGTTGATGTAATGTTCTTTGTTTCTTTTTGATTTGTTATGTCTGATATTTGGAATATTGCAGCTGATCAGGGCACAGATGTGAGACTGTCCTGTGACACACCTCCGACCAGCTGCAACCCTTCTGAACAATTCTTCATTTGAACTCATACGCTGGCACGTTTTCATAACCTTCAAGACTCAAAAATCTGTATGTTGTGTTGTTTCCACGTGATTGAGAAGTGTTGGGTAATATAAAGTCTTTAAGATAAGACTAAATGAAGCAGAAGTCAAATCGAAACCTCAGCATATTTTCTGATCATTTTAATCAGGTTTAATAATCAGAATTTGTTTTCTAGAAATATGGTGTCTTATGGGGAAAAAAAGAACAATTTTCCCAATATGATAGGGAGCTGGTCCAGTTTAGTAGGTCAGTCATAACCTTTAGGGATAAACTGACCATATAACTAAATCTAAATCATACCCAGGAGAATGATTTCAAATAAAGTCTCTTTTAAATATTAATCTAATATCCTGTTTTTGTTTTACATGTAGCTTTTCTTTTCTTAAGGATAACATACAATAAACACAAGAAAAAAGTTATGCAAAACTTGGCGGAGCTGTCGAGTGGATGTATAAATAATAGCTGAAACTAAAATAGATTTACACAATGTAGATGTAAGACATTAAAATAGGGTTTAGTGAATAAAAAAGCAGTATTTTAGTTCAACAATCAACATAAATACTTTTGGACCTGAAAATACTGACGTTGATGTAACAGCCAAATACTTTTGATTGGCCTATATTCAAACTGTTTCACAAAGTAGCTCCTCACCCTGCTGCCATTTGCTTCTTTTTTCCTTTACAGAAATGATGTCTCCCTTCAACATGATGGGCAGGTGACTGTAAAAACACATCCATGCCAAGATACAGAGGTGCATGTCATTTCATTCAGTGGTCAGCTCACCCTATTCTCCCATGCAGTATTTTCTCCCCTGAACACCAACTTGACAATTTGAAAAAAAAGGTATAGCTGACTTAGTATTTTAGCGAGCCTGGTCACAGAGGGAGAAAACAGATACTGCTGATCAGTTTGTATTGGAAACAAGACTAATGAAGGGCAAAAACATAATAAATACATCTGCAATCAAGAGAATTTCTTATATTGAGCATTATATTATTGCCAAGTCAAATAAAGAAAACAAACAATGCTTTTTAGATTTGTTTCCATGGATTCCACACAAAGACAAAGAAAAAATACTTCTCTAAATGGATTGATAATATGACAGTAAAAAAAATGGGACAATTCAAATCAAATGAAGCCAAACACACTCAGTGTAAATACTATACATGCAGCATAACAGTTTTGTGTCCAATGTTATCAAGACAAAGATAAGAGACATCACACTGACATGGACAGTTTTTGTGTTTTGTTTTTCCAAATATGAGCATGCCTGGAGTCCTATTGAAGGCTGTAGGCTCTTCTGTTGGAGCTGTGTAGGGTGGCTGGCCTACGCTGTTGCCCCGCAGAGTCTTCCAGTGGATGAGATGTCCTCCTCTGGTCGTCCAGACAGCAGAAATGGCCAGGTCTGGGGAAAACAACACACAACTTATTAGTTCTTCAATCCTCAGCTCAAATTTCAGAAAACTTTTATGAGGGGAAACTGATTTCAAAAACTGAATGCTAGATGGCGCCCATGTCATTTTATATGCAAATAGAATCCTAAACTAAATCTGAAGACGCAGTTCACATTTGCCAACGTGGGTTTCTAAAATCTGACTCTGAAATGACCGCTGGCCAGCCTCGTACCAGATTGACCGGGTGCACAAAGTGGTCCTGGAGCCGGTCCTCCTGCAGGAGCTGCCTGAGGTGGCAAATGTAGCTGGAGGCCAGGCGGAGCGTGTCCAGCTTGGACAGCTTGGTGTCCGCTGGAACCCAGGGCAGGCTGGTTTTCAGTCTGGAGAAGGCTTTGCTCAGCACCCTCATCCTCGCCCTCTCCCGGGCGTTGGCCGCGTTCCTCTGCGACTGCCGCGCCTCCTTCTGGTGCGTCCTGGACACGCCGTCGCGCTCCTGCTCTGCGCTCCTCTCATCCTCCGGGTCCTCCTCCGAAAAGCGGTCGGGATCGAAGCGGGTGGGTCTCCTCGGCGGCCCCTCTGAGGAGATGACGGCCCTTCTGCTCCGTGTTTCGTCGTCCTCTGCATCACTGGTGGCAGAGCCCGTGGACATGGTGGCTGTCCCACCTGTGCGCGCAGGGACACCAGTGCAGAGGCTGAGATGTTGGCTTTAATGTGAAGTATTTTGGGGGGGACACGTTTTTTTAAATTCCCATTGTGCCACCCCGGTCACTTATGTCATCCAGAAGAAAAAGGCAAACCCCCTGGCAGGCCTGCGGTGTCCCTCAATCTGGGGCTTGCCTCCTTGTTTGGTGATCCTCCTAACTTTAGTGCCCAGGATTCTGCATCTGTACTTTTTTTCTGCTGTGCATTTCCCCTCCCCTTTTCTCCAAGTCACCATGACCTCAGAAGGACCACAACTCTGTCTCATTGTATAAACTGTTATAGACTTAAATAATTCCTCTCCGACTAAATAATCGGGTTAAGCCCTGTGAATTCATGGCTTGTTGGACATTCCAGAGACTGTTTAAGGGCTTATTTGACCACTTTAACAGCAACAAACCTCAAATAATTTGCAGCGTTGGACGGGATGAGTCTCCTGACAAATGTTTGCACTTTGCAAAATTCATAGATGCAAATACAGTAAACATCCTGTCAGCTTGTTATTGCTGCAGATGTGCTGGGGTAATAGAAATGTCTTGAGGACCCTATCAAAAGGGCCTAATCCTTTTCTGGTTTCACAGACGTATTGGGTTTCTGCAGATGGAGGAGCCTTTCACACACAGCCCGCGTGCACCGGCCCCAGCTGTTCCTGGTTCCCATGACATCTGGACTGCTGGCATGACAAGGGTGTGGCAGATGCAAGGAGGCCCCATCCTCATTCTCTTTATACCACAACCTTTTTTTTGTTATGTTTTGTTCTTTTTGTCATTATAACTGCTTTGGAATTTGCTTTGTGGCCTCCAAATATCTCACAGACCTTACGGATAACCAATAGTCCATCCACCAGTCCACGCTACAGCTGCCTTAGTTTGAATGGAGATTAACATAAATAGATTATTCTAAATCGCAGGAGGACTTTAGATAAGAACTGAAAGAGTTTCTTTTACTGTGATGATATTCTGTCTGAACAGACTATTTTGGTATACTGTAAAATTGCAAGCAAACTGTACAAAGAATCAACTAATTTAGCCCTATAACACTATATGTATAATATTTGATACGTACGGTTTCTCATATTTTGGGCAGAAGACTACACTACAAGAATTTTGTTATATGGCACGGTAATGAATGATGAATATTAAAAAAATCCTTATTTATTATTATTATTATTATTATTTTGTTGACTTCAAACAAAGAAAAAGCTTTTTTTTCTTGGATCAGACTTTAAAGGGTTAAGAGAAGAGAAACTGAAGTGGGCATAGGCCTCTCAGAATAAATGGAAACTTCTGTTTGCTCCTCCTCTCAAACAGATCCTCAGAAAGTTCAGGTCAGTGTAAGCTATCGCACAATATAATGTGTGTGAAAGTTTTGTTAGAAATGACAATATCAAGAGTCTGCCAAGAATTAGCTAACTGCAGCTGAGATGCAGGCTATATTTTAGTAGACAGACATTCTGTCTGGTACAGAATCGGAGGCTTTGCTGACTACTCCCAGGATGGTTTTTAAATAATTTTTGGCTCAAATTTATACTTTTTACACTCAAAACGGATCCACTCGTTCTACTTGCTTGTTCCCTTGTTATGATGATGGTGCAAGTCATAGATTTTAAAGTGTTCTGCAGTATTCCACTGGTCAGATTTGCCTCTTTCCTGGCCCAAGAACGCTCCTCAATCCAAGGACACGTTGCTGTGCTTATGCCTTTCTGTGCAGTTTTTCGCCAGACCAGAAATCACGGGGGCCTTGGAGGGATCCCTGCTCTGGATATATCCTTGAGCATGACAGGACGTTGATATATTAACTTGCGATAGTTAGACAGGTGGAGTTTTAGGCGGGCATCCAACCCATCTTCTGTTGCCGCATCCGTCTGCGAGCTGAACGGCCTGACAGGCACCCCTGAAGGTGCAAGCTAAGGGATTTTGCGGATGGATTTACTCCTTATTTGATAAGCATTTCCTTTTTTTGCCCCCTTTACAAGGCACTGTACCAGGCTATGTGACATATTTCAACCTGCTTCTTCAGTCACTGTCACGAGGAAAGTAGTTGGCATAAAAACCTTGGCTCATTCTGCCTGTTATTCATGCAGATCTGAAGTCAAAATAAATATACATCCAAAACATCAGCCTAATAGATAGTTTTATGGTTGTTCCATTTGCCCTGGGGATAATTACATTGTGGGCCAGTAGCAATAAATAACACTTTAAACTCAACTTGAAGAGAGAGCCAACATTCATCCATCAGCAGTGACTTTCAGGGGTCATGACTTCTGATGGAGGTCTTTAGTGGAGAGGCGGAGGGACAGGTGCAGGCTCATGATGTCAGAGGCCGGACTCTGTTTCCCCACAGCTCTCTGAACATTCCCAAGATTCCCACTAACACTGCTGGATGGCACAAGTAAGAAAGCCAGCGCACAACCGTTTTCTGGGGGAATCTTTAAACATTTTTACACTGCTCTTGTCTCCAGCTTTGTGCAACAGGTCCCCTGTGAAGAACACTGAGAGAGTAAATAAGTCGATTTATGCTCTCAGTCTAAAATCAATTTCTACAATTTATATACACTTGTAATCAATAATGGTCGACCAGTTCCCAGTTTCCCATAATCCAGTAAAACACTTGAAAGATTACAAACAACTGAATGTATGTGTTTTAGACCATTTATTGTCCACAGAACCAACCAAAGCACACAAACTCACAAATTCAAGTAATCAATCATCTCAATCTCAGCATTGTCTCAAACTCCCAGCTTTTAGCTTTACTTGATCAAACTGCTGCTTTGGAAACTGCCGATCATGACATTTTGATGAAAAATAATTATGAATGGGTTGGTTTCCCAGATTAATATCTTTTCTGGTTTCGTTTAAGTCATATTTGGATAAAAGTTTTTTGGGTACTAATCTCAGTTTTGAAAGCAACACTGCTAAGATCACCACAGATGCCTTTTATAACACGAAAAAATGATTATGGTCTCTGACAAACTCGTCCGTACATTCATGTCAGTTTCATGACAGTTTAGATGAGAGTAATGGGCCATTTGAAGGACTATCAAATTATTCATCAATCTATCCATCCGTTAATTCTATTACATTTAACTCAATTCAACTTGAAATTGATTAAAACATGTTTGATTAGATAATAAGAGAAAAGACTTGTACTTGAAAGATTATAGAGCTCACATTACACAGAAAGACACAGAACGGCGTTACAGAAATAGTAACTGTTTGTTACAGATGAATGGCAACACTGCATACATAACACAAAAGGACATCGATTGACTAAAAGATCTCTGACGTGACTCACTGAACACTAGTGCTATTGTGTCTGCCATGCATGATCCCTAATGTCACTACGGTTTAATAGTGTTACTTAACTTTTACATTTTTTATTTCTAGAGCCACACATTCGTCCCAGTTTGTATCATCTGTTTTTGACACAGTTGTAGAAATGAAATCCTTTCATATTTTGGTCTTAAATGGTCGTGACAATTGCATTCACAGCTTAAAGCGTCATTTGTGAAACATATCCCAACAGAGTAGTCAGTTAACTTTATTTAATTATCTGTGGCGGCATGCAGAGAGTGTTCAGAGAAATGAAATATGTTCACATATATCAGCATGCTCATGCCTGCATACCTTTGGCATACCATTTTCCCTTCTGGTACACTTATACCTCTTTAATATAGCGTCAATTAATTGTGCAAAATTGTATGATTGTTATTTTGCTTGTTTATTCTTCTTCATTTACGCTTGGACTCGAGGGCCTTAATAAGCGGCACCCATCGAGATGATGAGCGGCTTTTCGTTTTAGCCTGAATTAAGGTTGGACCCAAACTGCCTCTGAGAGTCGTAGGACCATCATACTCATCAGCCTCAGAGGAGATCTCCATCTTCTGGATAATGAGCTTCAGGAGGTTATGCTGCTTCTCCATTATGCTTGACATCTCTTTCATTCTGCAAAGGAAGACATTAGTTCATGCTATGAATTACTGTGAGCCACCACTAGGAGCTGCTCATATATCAAGAATAGTTTCACACTGTTTCTAGTTCTCCCTTCACTGGCCATTACATAGTAATGTGAGGTATTTTGACGATCCCATTACTAGTTTCCTTCCGTTTTTGGGGGGGGGGGACTTGCATACCTCTTTTAGATAAAGATACAATAAACCAACCATCTGTTCATCTCCTGGTGAGGAACAGTAAAGCAAACTCCACTGCCGTCACTATTGTGACGATGATGGTCAGGTAGGGAAAAAGTGGCATCACTTTTGGTGGTGGGTCGGTGGCCTCGACATGTTCTAAGGTCTAAGCAACAACTTTAAGCCTGAAGCTTCCCACTACAGTAAGAACTGACGAAACATTCAAGAGCCAAAGAAACCTGGTGAACTTCAGTTCAAGCACCATGCCGTGTGTTACCTGTACTTCTGCTTTTTCAGCTCATTCTCCACAATGGTACAGCTCTTGGATTTAGACTGCAGACGACTCCAAATTTCGTTTTTTTCTTCCTCCCCAGAAAAGAATTGTTTAATGAAGTGCTGCAGAGATTAACGGTTTTAATGATTAGAGAGTAGCTCACTAGTGAGAAGCAAAAATCAGCAACTTGTGTGCTACACGCTTCAAGTTGGCCTTCAGCCCACCTTAGAGCACTTGCGATTGGGGTAGACGATGACGGAAGGCTTGTCCACTCGCTTCATAAACCAGTATGGGAGCTTATCTTCCAGAGCAGTGTGGAGATCGATCTAAGATTAGACAGTCCCATCATTTCAGTTGCAATTCTTGAATTGTTATAGTAGTAACAACTTAATTCAAATGTTTTTAAGGGACTTCTAGAGTGTCACTTTAAGCTGAGCCTAAAAAGGAAAAGAGAGTAGGGTGTTTTTTAGAAAATGCTGATGATACCAGTTCCATATTTACCTGCATAGCTATTCGTTTCAGGGCGGCATTTCTTTGAACTTCAGCAATGTCTCCAACTGCCAAACCAATCTACAACACCGTATATGTTTATGAAATGAAATAAATATGAAAAAAGACAAAAATAGAAAGGTACATAATGTTTAAGTTGATATAAAGAGTATATTTCTTTTTCTTTATTTGCCTAAATCACAAATCAAATGATACTTTCAGCCGATACTTACCATCAGGTTCACCAGTAGGATTGGCATGAGCATAACAAAGTGAATGAAAACAAAGTATGTCAAGAGGCCAAATGGAAGCTGATTTTTCAGAAAGGCATCCAGGAAGTTGCTCTGGTAGTTCAGTTCCCCAACCATCATCACAAAGGTCTGCATCACTGAGAGTGGCACAGTGTTGAATTCCCTCTAGTGACAAACACGCAGAGCCAATGCATGACTGTAGGTTAGTGAAATAACTCAGAATAGTCAACTATTGACCATGTTCTCATAAAAGTTAGGATATTGTGTTATTGTGTCATTTTAAAAAGAGCTCAAAGATGTCTAAACACAAAATATCAAACATTTCTCTCAATTCATTTGATGCAAACTAAGGCCAAATAAAAAGGTTTGGACAGGTGTATGTTTACCCCTGTGTTGTCTTTCATGCTGAAAACTGAGATAACTCATTCTAGTAACTTTTAACACGAAAAAAAAAAATCATTAATTATCAAATTAATACATAGTATTCAGTTCAGCTGCTGAATAGTTGGATGTTTTATTTGCCATATTATTCTGCCCCAGCTGGTAACAGGAATGCAGTTGTGTCAGTTTATTACTTTGAGTAATCCACAATGGATCCAAATTGTGGGAACGTGGATTGGTTTTGTAATCCTAAAATAAGCAAGGCCTTTCGTGAGAAGAATATTGTCTGAACAGTGGAACAGGCTCCACTAATTTAGACTAATCACTTGATTTTTCAGCTATTTCCTGAGAATAAATGCTCCTGTCGCTGCACATCAACTGAAATGCCCCTCTGAGGTATAATCAGAAAATTAACAGGGGTGTGGTGGCCACGGTTGTTAGCATGTGCCTACAAATGAGTATAAATGAGCCTATCTAGAGATGGCACAATTTAAATAGACCACAGTCAACTTTATTACCTCCTCTGTCACATCAGGCTAAAACCTGCAATCATTTTAAGAAGGTTTATATGATGTCTTTATGCTGCAGAGAGGAGGCTCATTTGTATTTTTGCTTCCTTTTCATACCTGGTTAAGCATCAGAGCATAGAACGCCAAGCTGAACGCCAACATCAGGTACACAAACAGTGTCACAATCCGGACCAGTGTCCTCATGATCTCCCCAAACATCACGACGTAGATGCCAACTCCCTCAAACCTTAGGAAAATGATGGGGGAGTTGTACAACATGAACAACATGAAAAGGACATTGTGCTCATACACACATAAGTCCTAAAAACAAACCTCTGGAGATAAAGGAGAAATCCAATCCAGGAGGTCCAAACCGCTGTTGCCCCTGCTTGCCAGTGCAATGAACCTTCCACATTGAGTATGAGGGGTATGATGAACAGTAGAGAGAAGATGGCTGAAAACCAGTCAGACGTGTTGGAATAATCTCTGAAGTAATTCCAACGCTTTAGAGACACATGAAAAAAACAGCAAGCATTGAATTAGTTGAGCCTTTTCCTCTGCTTTTGTTGTCAATGCATCTTAAAAACAATCCCTGCACAGCAGAACAGCATATTTCTGAATATGTGACTAGACTCGAGTGTCACGAGGTGGGTTCTGAAGGAGGACTCAGTCGCGGAATGAAGGGGAAACAAGGTTTATTGTACAAACAGGGTGAATGTCCAGACAAAGTACAAAACAAAGCTGTGGCAAACTGTGGGCAAAGTATCAAAGCAAGCAAACAAGACTGTGGAAAAACTATGACAAAGTAACAAAATAAAGATTAACAAGACTATGACAAAACGTGACTATGACTGTGGCTGTGGCAGAACTATAACGAAACAAACCTGGCGTGGGGGTGACGACGGACGAAAGGACAAGAGACAAGGCAAGAAGACAAGAACGACCCCGCACCAGACAAGGGGAAACAAGGACTATTTAAACACAAGAGGGAGGGGAACCCCAGGTGCACACAATTGGTAATCAGGACATGACGAGACACCAGACGTGACATCGAGAGTGTATCATATAACAAAATGACTGGTTCAGAGTGTTGAGATGACAGTGGTGCTGTTCAGTAAATCCTACAGATCTAAATCAGAGGGCATTCATCCATCACATCTAAATTATAGTGCCCTTCGCACTTCTGGACACGTTTTTTATGAGGTTATGACATGAGTGTAACAGTGAAATACCTGTTGTGACATCTGCACAACTTCCTTCGCTATTGAGTAGATATTCATGACTAACACCATCACCATGGAGAAGGACAAGAACACGCTTTGCTGTGAAAACATGGTAATATACAGTGTTATAGACATATTTTCCTATGGTAAGTATTTGCAGACATGCAATATACTATGGGCAATCTGATATTAATGGAAAAATGAAGGTAAAGCAAAGCAATGTTTAACTCAGAAATTTGTACCTCAGTAAAAGATATGGGCACCATGATGATGTCATATTCTCCTGTCTCAGTGGTGTTCATAGAGGGTCTAAGAGTCACTATCAGGTGAGTTAGGGGCATCAGCCCTAACAGGTACAAAAACATGTTGAGCAAATGAGCTTTGCTCCCATAAGCAACCCTGTGAACAAGGAAGAGAACATCAAGCCGTGAAATCAAAAACGAAAACCGCATTGAGATCTTTTAAAAATACTCCACTCTGCTTCACACGCTGCATACGTACCACTTCATCGCCAGATACTTTTTGCATACAGGGTGGTTCAGCAGCTCAATTCTGTTGTACTTCACCATTGCCTGAATAAAGTGTTAGAAAAAAAGCAGTAAAACTTAATCTCAAAGATTTTGAAACTAGTTAACTGCCAGATTTATAGAAACATTCCAAAATAAAAAATAGAGGATTACAGTTGAATACGGACTGCATATTTTATATTTAGTTTTTTATTTGAACTTTTTGGATGAAGCTGGACCAAACTGCACCACAAGAACCGATTGTTTTATAAATATATTGTGGATTACCATGGGCCAAAAGTGCCCATCTTGATCAGAAGTTTGCTTCACATTAACCTGAAAACACTGATTGATCTTTTTTTCCCAAAAAATAAATCCTCTTCCCCTTTTCAAAATATGGGGGCGGGGGGAGCGAGAGAGGCATTAAAGAAAGCATAATAATATCTCCCATTTTTAAGTTAAATGGAAACAGGAAGAGAAATAAAATCCAAGGATATACTAAAGTCAGATTTCTGCTTTAACAAAACATCAAAAAGTGTCATCTGCTCTTTCATCAAGAGCTTTGAAAAACTGCGGCTGGGGATTTGGAGGGTTATGCAATTTAATCTCCATTGACCTGCACCGGGAAGTAAAATCTCTTTTGACAAAGCCACAGTGGTTGTGAATGCATGAGGGGAAGTGTCTGACTAGGCTGAAAAGGCAAATTCTGACAGCGCCTGTGAAAATATGGATAAGTCTACACAGTTCAAATAGCGGGTGATATGTGACCAACATAGAATGTGGCTCCTTATAAGTCATGGGTGGGGAGGGGGGATAGAATATTTGCATTTTCCTGAAATTGAATTGATAGAAAGTGACTTACATTCAAGGCAGCTAAGGGCTGAATCTTTACAAAATGGTTTGTCAACTTCTTCGCTGAAATGGGAGCCTGGAGCCATCTGAAATTGTATTCAATCTAAAGCACAAAAAGAAGAGTTAGTCAGATGTACTTTGATGTTTTCAGTGTCCAACTTGCAGAGAAATTACATGGTAGTCAGGGCTGTTGTGGTCTTCATCAGATTCCCGCACACAGCGGTCCAGCAGATGCTGTTGAAAAAAGGCACAAATCACACTGACAGTGAGCTTTATATTTTTTCTCAGCGTTCAATCAGAGAGCAGGTTATATTTTTAGAAAAACTGCAGAAAGAGATGAGTTATGATTGAGGAATGCACAGATTTATGCTGCAGTTTTATTGTCACTGGCCCACCTTGCAGGTCTCGGGCAGTGACTCGATCATGTCCAGTATGGGGCAGCGCTGGTTGGTGGTGGGATTGAATTCCCTTAAAGATTCATCACATCTGAAAGAGGAGAAACCAAAATCAATCTGAATGCCATCAAAAGGAAAAAAAACACTTAAAAAAAAACTATAATTAGGTGTCAGCAGTAACACACCTGTCACTATCGATGACGGCATTGACCACGTCTTTTTTCCCGTTTTGCACCGCCTCGTGGAGGAATGACGTGTGATTCTTGTTCAAGACGATCTCTGCCCCTTTGACCAGCAACAGCCTGACCGCTGCCACGTGTCCTGCTCTTGCAGCGATGTGCAGAGCTGTGTTCTGGCATGTCAACATAATAACAAGAGACTCAGCATTTACTAAAAGTATTCATAATTCAGCACCATTGGTAACCATTAGCATGCTGATTTATTCAATACATGAAAAAGTAAAAATGGAGTCATCTAAAAAAAGCTGCTTGAAGAGAAAAAAAAACAGACAAAACTTTGCAGCTGATTTATTTCTATTTTTTTGAGGACACTGAACTTTAGAAGGAGAGTCTCACGTACCCCGTCTTCATCAGTTTTATCCAGTAGTTTGAGATGGGCTGAAAGCAGGATGTCCATGGTTTGGGTGTATCCTTCAGATGCAGCATGGTGCAAGCAAGACCAGCCTTTGTAATCGCTGTACGAGAAAAGACAAAAAAAACATTGTTCTCTTAAGAAAAAAGCCCTGTAAAAATGATGCAGGATGTTGTCTTTGTTGCTTCTGCTCACAGTCATACTTTCTACCCATACGCTCCACAACATGGCGGGGTTTACCTGTGGAAGAGAGCTCCTTTGCGCAGCAACAACTGAACCACCTTGGTGTGCCCCTCCTTTGAGGCCAAATGGAGCGGGGTCAGGCCCCTCTCGTCCCCTTCGTTCAGCAGACGGGAGTCTGTGATGGTCTCCAGTAATCTGTGGCAGGTATTGATGCGTCCATACCTTAAAGAAAAGAGGAACGAGGAAAGGTATTATCTATTGAAAACTCTACATAGGATTATGTTTTTATGCATATTCTCTATTGAGATGGCCAGTGCACAATTTATTGCAATAAAAATATTGCTGGCTGTAAAAAGGTGTACTCTAGCTCCCACCAAAATGAGAAAGTTACGACAAACGGGTTTAATGTGCAGTGAAGGCAGCTATTGGCCGAGCAGCAAAAATCGGATACATTAGGAATGAAAAATGTTAACCACGCTGCTTATTGCCGATCCACGTGAGTCGCTAAAGTTATTTTGATGCTCTCTTATTTTGCTGTGTTCAACACAACGTGCTTTTCTCATCTGTTGCTCTCTTAAATGCATGACTCCTTTCCAGGCTGATGGTGCTTTGCTTGACTCCCCATGGAGTCATTCCTCCCTATCATTAGAAAAAACAAAAAACAAAAGTGTGCCGCATAACCTGAGGCACAAAATGAATTTGAAGAGAAAAGTGGAACAGAGCAGAGAAGAGGGAATGAGGTATCTAGAAATGAGTCAGTCAGCATGACAGCAACTCGTGGTGAGATAGTAATCCATAAAATGCATCAGGACTTCCTAACAAGGTGGAATCTGAATCTGGTTATTCACAAACTGTTCCTCCATTTTTTTATGCCAAAACATTTGGAGCCGCCTTGTGAGTCCACAGGGAGGTTGTAGTTTAAACCTCAAACCTGGTTTTCAAAACTTTGACATGTTCAAATATCCATAAAGACTAAATATCATATGTAAAAGTAAGATGTATTCACATCCACTTTTTAATATTTATATTTAGTCATTTGAAATGAGGTGTTTGACCTTATGAAACCACAGTGTGCCAACAAAAGCAGAAAACTCAACAAGCCAGTCTTGTAGTTTAATAACAAAGAAAGAAGGAAGAGAAGCTGAATGCTCTTTCTGAAACTTTTACATCATGCTATATCTTCAAATAGCACAGTATTGCTGGTGTGTTGAGGCTTTAAATATTTCATATTAAGGCATGAATAGATTATTTTTAAGGAACGTAAAATATTAAACATAAAAAATAATCTGTTGCATCATAAAAACATTTAGCCCGTAGGCTACATGAAAATGAATAGGACACAGATTTAGTGCTGGAAGCTATGAGAGGCCTTGCACAAGTTATAGTATGATATCATGCTATGGTCTTCTTCTGCCCTGTAGCTCAGAATAAATGGGTTAACATGACAGAAAAATCAATAGCAACAGCGTTGAATGATCACTCTGAAATATTCACTTGTAACATTTCCACATGTGATTTCGAGTTTATTGAATTCTATTCTTTTAACAGCTGCTTTGGTCCACTGAGTTAAATATGTGGTACGGAAATTGCAATGACTTTTTAAATTCAAGTGACAGTGACCATTTTTCATCCCAAACACACACTAAAATCTAGCCTTCACTGGCTTAGGTAAATCAGTTGAATGAGAAGGACTTTTGTTCAAAGAAATTGTCGTTTCACTGTGTCATCTTCTATCAGTTCAAAAGAGATCGATTTGCAGTCTCAACTCTCTGTGTTGTTTTTTCATTTAAAAAATGTAATTGTGTTCCTTCTCGTCTCCTCTTATCAAATGAAAAAAATCCCCGGGGAACAAATAGCGAAAGAAAGAGTTGATACATTGCTGTGGAAGATCTGAGGAGTTAACAATACCTGACAGAAACGCAGCTGATACAGCCAGCCAGTGGCCCGTGTCCAAACGACCATGCATATAGTCTTCTTAAAAATGTTTGCGAGGTTTACGCAACGTTGTGCAAAATTCAGGTCACATTAGTGTTTTTTGGATCAACGGAATGGAAAGCTCGGCCCTCAGGGACCAATCAACTTACTGAGCAGCAAAGTGCAAGGCAGACTTCTTGTCCTTGGACTTGTACGCGAGGCCGACCTGCCCCGAGAGGCCCAGCATGTTCTTCACTGAGTCATGGATCCCCAGTCTGCAGGCGTAGTGGAGCGGGGTGCAGCCCTCATGGTCCTCACAGTTCAGCAATGCTTTCACACTGTTTTGCTGAAGTCACACACAGCGAATGATGAGCAGGATTTATCATGCATAACATAAATACAACGCCATTTACCCCGATTAAATGATAACGCTTTAAACATCTAAGCCTTCTTCAGAAAGGTTGAGTGATCAAAATACATAAAACTATTTAATTGTCAAAGGACAACATGTACAATGTGAACAGTGAGATATTTGGACTTTTTTTCTCCCTTATTTAAAGTTGGCAGCTACATTTTTCTAATAGTTGCCACATGGATACTATTTACCACTGTTTTACTTCAGTGTGATTGCTGTGGAACATCCTAATATCTTAAACAGTCTGAAGGCTCTTTTGTCTTATCTCTCAAGTATATTACCAGGAGTTTCTGCGGGAGTTTCACAGAAAAAGCAAAGCTTTCCCTCTTAAAGGCTCTGTCAGCATAGAGATATGTTGTTCCAAAAAGTACTTTAATGTCTTTGCTTTGATTCTCCTCCACCCCTGTAATTTTGACACACTATTGTTTTTCTATCTCATATTTGTTGACAAGGCAATCAAATGTACAATATTATATTAAGGTGATTTATAGATAATCAATTTTTAATGCATTGTCGGAAAAATAGAGTTCACTTAATGCACAAAGAATGTCTGATATGCTGTCTATTTAACCGGTTAAACTGTATAGAGTCGCATTATTTCAGAAGCATTGCAGTGTGTTTTTTGTTGATTTCCCGGTGCCAGCTTTAAAAAGGATTACCACCTAAACAATCTGGCACCACATAAAGCATTGTAGGGGAACACAGATACGCTTGTAGTGCCTGAGATCAAGCACTATCAAACGCAAACCTTATCTGGTTCTGAGACCAACATCATTTGCTGTTGGGCTCCAAGCAAATGGATCAAGGAGTGTACACTAATTACAGTCTATTGACCTAATGACATTTTCCTCCAAGCAACACAGCATTCATTTGCAAGGCTCCAAACCGCATCCATTGTGGGTACCTGCAGTACTTCCTCCGAGAGGTTTTTCAAACCTTTGGGCTGCAGAATGGCCAGATGAAGGAAGTTGCAGCCACTTATGTCTTTTGCATTAACGTTGGCTCCTTAAAAGACATAAACATATGCACACGGTTCACTCAGAATATGAATTCTATAGCATTTTACACATCATAGGAGCACTGCTGGCTGTGACACACATTATTAAATTATCACCTTTTGAAAGCAGAAGAGCTACAGTCTTCCACGCTCCACAGAAGGTGGCCAACAGCAAGGGAGAGTTTCCTTTACAGTCAGTTCTGTTGAGATCTGCACCCTGAAGAGACAAAGATCTTCATCATTCTTACAGCAATCATTGTGCTACTCTCAGCCTTGATCAACCTGTGAAAGACTCATGTTTTCTGGAAATTGAAAGACAAAAAAGTTGTGTCTGGCTTAAACACGGTCATTTTTGGACCACATACAACTCCAAAAAGCATACGTCCTAAATGTTTGGCAAATAATCCCCATCCAAATATTTTTAAAGCTAACACTACTACAATGAGCTGCTGTGCTGCTAAATATGTTTTACACATAAGTCACCAAACCTGTGAGGATGGGGGATTTTTACCTGGAGAATGCTGTTATATTTCAGCTTCTACAACATTAATATGCAAGTAATAACTGCATATTCAAGAGCTGCAGGAGACACACTCAGTTAGAGCACACTCACAGGAGCTAATCTTATTGCTACACAGAACAGGCCCGACTTGGATCTTAAAAGTGTCATTCAACATTATTCCATCTTTTCTTTCACAATGTCACTTTACATCATGATGAGTCTTCCTGTGCTTCTTTCAGGCCTTTCACTATGTCATATCATATCACGGCTGGTACTTTTTGGAATAGATCAGAGGATGACTCACAGATTTGTTTTCATGCCTCATTTGCTATAAAGGTTTTAGAGGTACATTTTCTTATTCTGCTTTGTTAGCTACAGCTGATCAACAGCAGGGTGCTTAACCAGCCACCACGCATGCAATTAAGTTTAGCACAACAGACCTCCTTCTCCTGAGGTAATAATGACAAATCGACAGTCTGATGAAAAAGTGACGCAGTTTTAGACTCACCAATTTTTTTTCATATTGAGCTGTATTAAATGGTAAAGAATTTGTTATTATGTGTATCCAAAACAGAGAGCACCTGACCACTGTCTACTGCAGGTAGGTTACGGTGTTACAGTGTGAAACCTGTTGCTGTTCAGCTCCTGTGTTCCACAGCAGATAGTGAGTTTGTTCCCTGCTGGTGGCTGCCACACGACATCACCGTTTTTATAGTTCCCGAGCTAAATACACTCAAGTTTGTTTCCTTTTCACCCCCCGTTGCAGTGTTTGCTGACATAATTACTTTACATTAAATAACCTTGGACCCAACCTAACTCCCTAGCAACACACTTCTGATAAAAACAATTTTTACACAACAGATGGCGACAGATGGTCCATAAATGACGAGCAGCAACTTGAACAACCACTAAGGCAAATGTATTAAAAACGGAAAATACTGAGTAATGACAGTTGTGGGGAAACATGCAAAGTTCTATTTGCTTAAAGCTGGTGAGCAGTGCTGTTGCTGATGAGCAGCAATTGATGATTGTTTTAGATGTGCTTTAGGTCTTAAGAGCGGAGTTTGATACAGAGCTCAATAGCACGATCCCTGATTTCCTGTCCTGTTGGTAACAGGTGTGCAGCGTGCCGGTGTGCAATCATGTGTGCCTTATTTACCAAAGAAATTAAGTACTCCACCAGTTCCACGTGGTCAAATATTGTAGCCCTGGAAAAACAAACAGAGTTGCTGTTAACCAGCAGACAGGGCTCTGAGGACACACTCAGTCATACATTCAAACTTTGAATAAGCTCGGTTTAATTCCAGTCCAGCTTTGTGAGGGGCCTATTATAACAGCCAGAATTTCCTTTGTGGTTAAATTTTTTGTCTTCCCTTTTGTGCTTTTTAGATAATGCATATTAGTGGCAAATGCCTTGTTGTCTAGAGATATTCTGCAGATTCAGAGGTGAGTGTGAATGATGGATAAATGACTGAATAAAACTTGTCCAGGTGTGTGGAAAAAAGACATCAAGCCAGCTCTTGGTCAAAGTAATGATGGGTTTACCCAGCATTTTACTGCAGCGCTTTCAAAACAATAATTAAATGTGCCAAAGGACCTTTGTCCTTTAATCTGCTGCTGTCAGAGTCAACACAAAAAATTCATATTAGAGTCCATGCAACATCATCGTCTCTAATTACATGTTATTCTTTGATGATTTTTAATTTTTTATAGCTTGTGTTTGCAGCACTGCAAATGTGGTTATTTGATGCAAATAAATAGTTCCTTACGCGGCATGAGAAAGCCAATAAGTAACTACTTGCAATCATTACAAATCTATGTAGAAAAGGCTGATTTTTTAAAAGTCTGATCTTTAACATCTGAAAAAAGGTTGTCAAGTAATGCCTGAAGCCAAATGAAAACTAATTAAATGTGTTAACGGCCAGGAAACATAAGAGGATATATTAACCATTTGAATGCGATATCTTCTTTTAAACAGGCAACTGATTTACAGATGGAAGTTGAACAATTCCGCAGGTGCACAGAAGAAATGTAGAGATTTTAGATGATGAGTCAATGAGAAAATTAGGGAGGCTGACAATAGAAAGAGCATGAATAGATATTTCATGAGTTCATAAGATATTTCATGAGTACTTCTGATTGTAAAAATACATTGAAATGATGAGCATGGACAGGAATATGAATTAGCATATCCATGCTGCTTTGGGGGAAAAGAAATGAAGCTGAGTTGGTGAAGGACAAGTTCTGTGTATAATTGTTGGGACGAAGGAAAATGTGGATTGTAGAATAGACAAGAGCTGGTTCATATTTTAGGAGAGAACATTCACTATTCTGTTGGGAATGCCTTTATTGATATTGGGCTAAGATATGTTCAATAAACAATAGTTATTTTCTTAGTTTTATAGATTGTTTCTTTGGTTTTACCTGGCTAGGTGATGATGATATCAAGTATTTTGGAAGTGTTCCAATATAAAATCACATAAGAGAACGTATTTTGGTTCAAAGTATAACCCACCTGTGTAGAGGGGTCTGGCAGGCCCCATCAGTTAAGTTAACGACATCCTCTACTTGGTCCACAGTGGAAAGCATCAATTTGACCACCTCAGTAGCTCCCTGGGTGCAGGCCAAATGAAGCGGTGTGGACCGATCGTTCTAAACCGCAAAATATTGATACATCATGTGTGATGAGGGATGAAAAATGGATGAACAAACTTCCCACCTATGCACTAACTTTGCTCCATGCATGTGCAGTGATGTTAAACAGAGTGGAACATAAACATATGCAAGAATTAGTATGTATACAAGCATATCATTTGTCCTCCCACACACGTACATACTGTACGCCTCCCCAGTGTAACATTAGCAGAGTATTAGCCAGACTTGCTGGCTGAACACCGGGGGCTGTAACACAACCCTCTAATGAGATAACCAGGACTGGCAGGAGGACGCCAGTGATCACTCCACTCAGCTCCACAGTGTAAGTGGAGGTAATTTGTATCAATTTAGCCAACCGGAGCTATTACCATGCTCACTATTCCTGCTAGAAGGCTGGCCATGGGCCCTGCACTATGCCTAACCATCCCTCCCAGAATGTTGTGACAAGACGGGCGTTTTCTAAAAAGCTCAGAGACAGAGACCTTTTGCTGGGTAATTGCTAAGAAATGAGTGTTTTAATTAGCAAAGGTGCGCGTGGAAATCTACACGCTATCTGTAGTGGTGCAAGTACCTGTTGCTGGTCTATTTTGGCCCCGGTTTCAATGCAGAGACGGATGGTCTCAATATTCCCGCCACGTACAGCCAGATGGAGAGGGCTGCTCTTGGACTTGTCTAAATAGTTGATGTGGGATACTGTGGCGTGGCCGTGCTCCTCTCCTGCCAGCAGCAAAGAACTGAATGAACTGTTGCTCAACGGCGAGATTATCCTGGATGTATATGGCACTCAAAACAACACATGCATGAGGACTCTATTTTGTTTGTTCTTCAGGAGAAGAAATAACTCTTTGAAGCTGAATGTAAACAGCTCAGGACTGTACATGCAGTACACACAAATCCTCCCTCTTCGCAATCACGGAAACATCATAAATATTTTGTGTTCCTACTAAACGTCCTCCAACAACCCAAAAATTAACCAAGCAGACCTCCCAGTGTGAATAAACAGTCTGTCTGCGCCATTTGTTCTCTGTCTAGAGTGCAAAAGCAAGATTTAGGAAGTCTCTGGAGGCTGAGGTGGACTCTCGTTATCTATCAGCTTAATGTGCTGCCTGGCCTTGTAAACGATTTTCATCACTGTCAGCACTTTCAGTTTTTGACGATGGATCATTCTTTTTGTCATACCGGCCTTCAGGACGACTTCCATTGCTTTCTTAGCACCTGCGAAGGCGGCGGCGTGCATGGCGAAATGGCCGAGCTTGTTCTGCTGGCAGAGCTTGGCTCCGTGCTTTATCTTTGACCCAGAGGAGAAAGACAAACAGAGGCAAAGCTTTGTCAGAGGCAACGCCGCAGACGTCCAGCTGTCAATGAAGGATGTGATGCTCTGTGTGTATACTGCCCAGAGGAGCAGTTATTGTTCAGGGACGGTGCAAGCAAAAACTAAAGTACTGCTGCTTACCAACATGCTGAGAGCCTCGCAGTTATTAATAGAGCAGGCCAGTATTAACGGGGTGTTTCCAAGGTCTCCCTGTTGGTTGCAGTCTGTGGCACTGTGGGACAAAAGCAGCTGCGGAACACAAGTGATACATTTTTTATTTGAAATGAGCTCCAATTTATTCCAAAGAGTAATTGCATGTTGCAATCAGCAATATATTTTCTTACAGCCTATAAAAAGAAAAACCTCATCACGAACATTAATTTTCCAAGGTTTTATGTATCAGATCAATTTGTTCAGTGAACAATAACTTGTGATATACTACACCGTATCTTTATTTGTTCCTTAGGCCAAAATTTAGTTTGCAAAATTCTAAGTCCACCCATACTGCCTCAATAGGAATTACAGGGAACAGAAGCAGCCAGGAGAAGTGACCCAAACTGTAATCCTGATCTGTAGTCTTCAGGTACCCAATTACCAAAATGTCAAATAGGAGGGACATCAGCTATGATCATAGACAATGAGCTAATGCTCTTCCATTCAAATGACAAAAGGACACGTTCTAACAAATTTGGAGTCCCTTTTTCTCCTGTTTTAAGATTATAGTAGGACTGTGAGCAAGTGTAAACACTCATGATGCATTTTTGTAATTGTATTATTATTTTTTTTTTTGTATATACTACATGAGATAGTGGAATATTTTGTTGCTGTTGTGTGCTATTGATCATATTGGGGTTTCTTTACATAATACTTTTTTCTAATTAGATACTGATATTGATATATAAAACAATAAGAAAGGTTTGTGTATTTTTTTCTTTGGTGTTCATGACTGTTGTGTTTTCATTCCACAGCCTCACAAAATACACTGACAAATACAATGTCATACAAAATGAACGTGTATTTGTGGTGTTCTTTGTGTGACCGAGGGGACACAGGAGTAAACAGGTTTCATCTACAGCACGCTGTTACTTGAAGTGGGCGCGCTCAGCCACCTCACCTCCACCAGAACGTTGTGTCCAAGGCTGACAGCCAGGTGCAAGGGAGACAGGAGGGCCGTGTTGAGGACGTTGGGGTCCGCTCCCAGATCCAGGAGGGCCCTGCAGCTCTCTGCTTTGTTCTTCTCCACGGCCCAGTGCAAGGGCACATTGCCCTGCTCGTCACAGCTGTTCAGCTCTGTGGCACAAGGGGCCGACACATGCAAATCCACCCACACACACATGCAAATGCACTATATAAGCTAACATCTCACAAACACATGCTCGCTAAGGAACTTGAAGATGAAGTTATGGCGATCCCTGAAACACGTTGCAGTGCATCTTAGGCTGTGATTGATGGCGGAGGTGTGCTTACCCTGTGAGTCTACGACAGCGCTGATAAATTGGATGAGCGTGATGTGGCCCCCTGCCGCCGCATAATGAAGGGGACCGGCTCCACATTCATCTTTCTCGCTCAGCACCTCTGGGCTCTTTTTCACCAGGTTCTCCAGAAGGGCCAGGTCACCCTTCTCTGCCAGCTTCAACACAACGATCATCGTGTCACTACAGATTTGTCATTACAGTGATGCGGGTTTTCATTTCACGCATTAAGAGCAATATGAACGAAGCGGGGGTTATTGTATATTTTATATATGCGCGCACTTCATGCATAAGACTTTGATTGATGAAACTTATAAATCTTGCATTCTACTCTTCTTTTTATAATTGGAGTTGTGCTAAAACATCAGGGTAAGAGTTCATTTGAAAAAACCTCACATCCCCTACTGTTCCTATTCAATCTTTCAGTGCCTTCTCGTCATGTAACTTGTTTTTCAGGTTTTTGTTTTTCACCTCAATAGCGTTTAAGTTTGCCAGGGCTGAATCTTCATCTTCTATCACATACGTATAACAGCTGGTCTGCCGGGCCACATCCCTGCTGAAGTTCATCACTTAGCGGAAAATCTGTAAGCACGACATTGACTCATGTTGATTTATAACGTCATTTACGTCTCCATGCACAGCTAAGCACATATCAGCACAAAGACAATGGATACAAACATAGACACCGCTGCAAAGCCTGGTTAACCAGCAAATGAAGTTGCTATGTTACGGGGAGGGCGGTTCAGGCCTCAGCCATGGGTATCTATGGCCATGAAGCGGACACAGGCGCAGAGGACTTTGTCTTCAGCCTGAAGGGCATTCAGATCAGTTGAGCGATTTGCAGGTGGAAGCCCCTCGGTTGGAGAAAGCAATTATGTTCCTCCCAGCTGGGGGGGCAGATTGTTCGAGTCTGTCCGAGGCGTCCTTGGGTGATCCTGGGTGAGCGAGATTGAAAAAGACCTTGCAATTGTGTTGCATGAGGCCCACCGTCACGTCTAAAGGCCACACAACAAATGACATTTCCAAAGAGCAACTCACTACAAAGAATTTCCCCTGGAAATCCCCTTGACCTATTGCCAAAGCGGTCCTTGTTGTTTCTGTGCTCAAAACAGCTGAGTTTGAAACTCTATGGGTGGGTCATTTTGTGTAAATGTTTGGTTCGGCTATCCACATGATTTACAGCTCCACAGGCTCTGACAGCTTACTGCAGACATTTAAGCAATCTAACATGGATCAGTGCCCCTGAACATCGCCTCTAACAAGGAGTTTTTCTCTGCCGGCTCCATTAAGATGAGCCCAATGGCTCTGTAGATCAGAGTTTGATAACCAAATCCAGGCTTCGTGAGCAGTGCACACCAGAGGAGTTGATTTAGTTCACGTCTATTTTTGGCATTTCTGCATATCATTTGTACTAACCCAGAAATAACATAAATAACCACAAAAAAACATGAGTAAAATGGAGAAGACTGTGTCAGACCCAATATCTGAGTATGATCTACCCATAAAAATTATATTCTATATTGAACCGATTGTCTGCTTGCAATCCATAAAAAGATTGCAATGTGAAAACAATTAGGACTTTCTGTCTAATCATCCTTGTAACCAGCCATTTCTGGCAATGGCTACAAAGTTCTAAATATGGAAAGTCTAACTTGAATTTCCTCTAACATGGTGAATTTGATAAACAACTTTGGGAATGTGATCATCCCCCATCATTTCCGAGCAGCTGTGGTGAATAAGCGTAATTACTTTCTGTAATAATAATCTTTGTTTGCAGAGGCCAAGTGTACAGGAAATGCATTAATATGCACTACTGGACACATTTAACGAACAATACAGTAGAAAATAAAAAGAGGGGGTTTATCTATGCGACTGTATTCATGACAGTACATGGTTGACCATTCTACCCACTGTCACATGTATGACTATAATGCAGGTAAAAGTGATTTGGAAAAAATATCTGTAGTAAGGAATCACAAAATAAGCAAGTGATTTTTGACATTGTATAGAAAGCATCACACTCCAGAATATCTAAGAACTTTCACTGTAATGAAGCAATGATTTTGAATAATCTAAAAAATATATACTTTGTTGTACTTGAGCAAACTTGTTGCATACAACTCAAAATAAGTAGCTCACAAGTAAACCATGAATATTGAGTCAGACAGATTGTTCAAATATTGAATCAGCCAAAAACATTTCCATCAGTTAAAAATATTCAACAACATCCATTTGATCAAATGAAATATTTGTTACGAAAATTTGCAAGCATGAAAGATCAAACATTGAGGAGAGCTTAGAGGACAGCCTACTTACTGTATACATGTGGTGCTGCTTCTGAGCTGGGCAATCGGGTTGTTGTCCGCGCCACCACAAAAGAGCTTTAAATAGTGTGGGGAGAAGGCAATTTCTCTGTGTGTCGCCTAATGATGGCAAGATGCTGCCCCCTGTGACCAAAAACCTCCTGTGATGTTTTCAAAGAGAGGCAAACAAGTCCATGTGGTAACATGATAGGCACAGTCACTTGCATAAATTCCCCATCACATTAGACGTGATACTATCCTCCTCTTTACAATAAGCTTCAGCAAATTTGCTGGAAAGATGGACACTGATGTGTTTGCATTTCCTCCAGTGGTTGAAATCGGGTTTCACATTTTCTGTTTACATGAAGAATTTGAGGACTTGCGGAGCTGCCCCTTTTGTTATTATTTCAAAGGATTTTCTATCCTTCCAGTTTCATTCAAAAGCATGGGAAGTTAAACCCAGGTGCACATGATATGTTGTATAATTCACTGTTTATTTCACCCTTATTTAGTGATTTAAGCCATTTGTGCTCTAGCCTGACTTGGCAGAATCAAGATGACCTCTAAGACCTCGTTGTTAATGGTGAGGATTAGGAATATTGATGAGAGAATCTTTATCAAGTAGGATTATCAGATAAGGTACATCATTAACTAAGGATTACACATCTATTTCAACCAGCGTTAACATCAAGGGAATGAGTCTCGGAGGTTTTCTTATGACCAAACAAACTTAGTGTTCTTGCTGCCTGGCTCAAACTTTTATATTCTTTTAAAGTGGTGCGAAAATCAGTTTAGAACATTTGAGTAAGCCATTGTGTCCAGTGCCCTTTGACAGCAAGTGTGAATAATCTATTTAGCCACTTTTTAAGCAACAGGAATTTAAAAGTAAAGATTTTTAGATAAATGTTATTTCCTTCAGTTCTGTCTGAGCACAGACGAGGCAGACCACTCAGTTTTTGCGTGGGTGTGTGATCATTCGTCGGTTCCACGTCTACTTCGACATTTTATTAATTAAGAGGTCATCAGGTAAACCTAATCTATTATATAAAAGCCCACAAACAAAAAAGACAGCCAGGCAGACCAACCCCAAAAATGACCTCTACTCTAACGGTATATTTGATCAAACTGGACTCAAAACTGATTAAAAACTTTTTTTTCGTCTCTTTATGGCCAATCTATTTATATGATGGAATTATGGGCAATCATGGTAGATATATTGCTGCCATTAAACATAGTATGTGTGCATTGTAGAAGATCATTTGTGTGCGCAAAAAATAAACCGCTGCTACCTTTTCCATCTACTACGGAAAAGTATGTGTCTACATTGTAGGAGCACTTCCCATTTTACAAGTAGGCCTACTGCTGAGCTCGGTGCATTTAACTTTACCTTCAATGCCACCTTGTGGCATTTTCAAGTGGGTTTATCCACCATTATGGATCCATGATAGATGGATTAAAACAGGATAAGGTCCACTTGTTTGTCACCCTTTCAGGATGAATGTTTACCAATTCTCATTAAGCAACGTAAATCACAAAACTAATACAACACATTTTTCATTGCACCATCCCTTGGTTCTTGTTTGGGGGAATTGAAAGAGCAGTATTCAAAGCTGCAACAATGAAGGTAGTTTCAGTTTAAAAAGAAAAAGAATAGACATCATTTTTATAGACTAACGTTTGAGACTCTTTGTCGAAATTGGTTTAGAATATTGTTAGTTAGTGGAATTCCTAGAAGCTGTGTGTCTTTCAAATCAAAAAATGTTATGAAGTAATTTACTATTGTATTTAGACAATTGGACAACAATTTTCTCAAAGTAAACCCCAGTTTGGCCTTTGCAGTAGCCATGTTATGGCCAAATTACCAATGAATGATTACTAAAACATACTTTTCTAATTTTCTAAATGATCTTTGAGGCCTTTTACTGCCAGACAACAATGACCAAGCCAACATAATAAATCTCAGCAGGAATAATTTGTCCGCATCCAGGGTCCAGTTCTGCCACACATGTCCCACTGCACTGAGCTAATATTTGCCCAGATGCTGTTCTTACAGGTTATTGTCCAAGTAATAATTGTGTAAAAGCCACACATGAAGTGTGTGCAATGCCAACGTGACTAAGCATTTAAAAAATTATCTTGGCTGTTTAGCTTCATGAATTACTAGAGCCAGGCAGCATTAGCTGAACAAACATTTGGCAGAGAAACATGGCTGCACGCGCTGGAAATGTGCAATTGGTTTTAAGTGAAATCACAAAGGAGTTGAAGGAGGGTGTTGGGAAGGCTGAAGATAAAGAGAGTGTTATGACTTAATTTGATTAAGGGACTCACTTTACTAAAGTTCTTTTAAGTGAGGCTTATGGCTATATAATGACAATTCAATTTGAATACCATGTCATCCAGAGGGGGGGCACGCGTAAGCAGCAGTGCTGTGACACCTAATACCTATGAATAATCCACCTTTTATGTCCAGCTCTAAACATTTGCACTCATTTGCATTTTGTGTGTTTTGGAGGCAGAGTGTACCCGGGCAGAATGGAGCCTCTTGGTGGCGGGAGGGAACTCTCATGCAGGTTTACAAAGAGCAAAAAGTGCAGGTTAATGTGTTGCCATACAGAAGTGGCTGAGAACAGCAATATGCTGAGTGCATTAACGCAGAGATGTCAGTCAGAAGTTCACAACAGACTGAGAGTTGCAAGCGTGTGTGTGTGTGTGTGCGTGTGTGGTCCCACTAACATGTGCCACATGGTGTTCCATCACTTATGAATGAGGCTCCCTCTTAAGAGTAGAGGGAGGCAGTGTTGGGCCGGCTGCCAGACTGTCTTTTGACATTTTATCTGTCTCTTGTTGAAAACTTACTCAGCACATTTCAATTTTAAATGTGCAGGACCATCAAATGTTATGAAGACAGGAAGTGATTTATCCCGTTTTGAAAAGGAACAAGGTTTTTTTTTAATCAGTTTTGCCTGGTCTTTGGAATTATTATAGAGACCAGCCTGATAGACAACGCAAACATCTCTGAAATGTTAACACATGTTTTAATATCGATATATTTGCATGGGGTTGATTTGTCATCAGCCTTCAGCCTAAATCCAATGTAAGCTGATGTAAAGGAAAAAACAAGATATAACATTTTTATCACACTGTGCCTTGAATTAATTAAATTCACCCTTTCTGAATCACAGAGGGTAGGATTGTAAAAAGAAGCAGTTCGATAGCACCAGAATCGACGTGGCCTGTACTTACTGCAGAGTGGATTGAATAAAAGAGTGGTACAACGCAGCTGTGTTGCT